ATGCATTATAAAAATCTAAACAATTAAGACACTAAGATATATTTATATGTTATTTAATATAATAATTAATTGATAATAATTGTTTAAATTATTATAAAAATCGATACTTTTGACTCCATTTGGAAGTCAAACCATTTGGAATAACAATTTTTTTTTTTAATTAAGCCCTTTTTAACTGTCCTTTTAGGTTGTTTTGAGAATGTTCTGTAGGCTACTAATGAAAAGGAACTCTGTATATTTGTTTGTTGCAAATTTACAGACAATGCAATTGAAATGTTTACATTGGCTAGTCAGGGTAATATTTCAGTCCACTGACAACAAAGTTTTCCTTCTGAATTAGCATAACTGCACAAGTTTTATGCTTAATAAAATCTTTAAAAACAAATGACATTAGTTATACTTTAATTTCCTTCAATAAAAAGGAAATTGAGTAAGACAGTGTAAAAGGTGTGTGGACGTGGATTAGTAATCTGGCCCCTTGGTATAAAGGAGAAAAAATGCTGGCCCTTGTCACTATCAAAGTTGCCCATTCCTGGTCTAGAGTGTCCGTACGGTGCGCACATATTTACGCCTAGTTTATTTTTTATAAATCCCGATATGTGCGTGGAAAATTGCAACCTTTATACATCAGGCCCCAGGTAACAAAAACTTTGAAGATCCAAAAAGCTCATTAAGACATTGCAAAACCAATCCATATGAACCAAGCAGTTTAATTCAGGTTTTATGAAGAGATATTATTGCTTTATATGATGAACATATTTAATGTAGGCCTTTTATTTTCTTTTCTTAATGAATTGAAAATGGCTAGTTTGGTTACAGGTAGTGATATACAGGATGCATTTAGGAGTAGACATAGCATATAGATGTCTTCAAAACTAACAGACATTGACTAAAAGCACATAGAGAAGGGAATGTTAGCACTCAAATGTGTTTAGATTGGCAATCGTATTTAGCTTCAGTGTGGATGTAAACAGGTGCTGGTCTGAACCTAAAGTGACGAGTGACTGTAATGTGCTGCATATGCAATCGTCAGAAATAACTTTTCTAGCATATGTTTCTAATGACATTGAGTTATGACTTACATAAGTTTATGCAGATAACTAAATGAAAATCCATTGGTTTTCATCTAATCAGGGTCTGCATGTTCCTCATTTTCCTTGCCAAATAATACAAGATCATTTTAGCCATTACATTGGTGGTTTGTATCTCACAAGCTGTTTTGTGTCATTGATGGCTTGTGAGAAAAATATATTAAAAATCACTGTTGAGAGGCTCCACAAAATAAGAAGAGTCTAAGCCATTACATCATAAGCAGCAGACACACATATTGCATGCAGTCGTTTAAATGTTAATGATTTCGTTTGGGAAAAGAGCTATAGTGCTAGTGACTCAGACCCATTTTTATCCCCTTTGCTCAGCGCTGGTGGGCTTGGTCGTTCTGAGCTGGAGAAGTTAAAAAATATTTTATTGCATCAGATATGCTGGACTAAGCTCTCAAAAACGGTTCATTCCTCCCTATACATCTGTTTCTTTGTCTCTCTCTCCCTCCCTCTTCAGGTCTGTCTTTCTTTCTGTTTGTAGAGCTTATTGAGCCAAATCTGACATTTGGTAAATACGGCAAGAATAAGCTTATGTTTCTTAGGCAGACAACTTTCTGTTTTCTTCTCAGCTTATGCGATTAATGCTCACTACAATAAAGAAGCTGTCCTACTGTGTCTGTCTTATCTGAGTTATTTACACTCATTCTGACAATCCCAAGACCTGAGCATTGGTACATCTAAGCTTAGGGCAGGTGGGTTGTTATTGAGCAAATCATACAGAGGGGAGACATATATCTACAAATGTTAATTTGTTTGTATGGCTCTTTTTCACATGTGGATGATTACACACTAATTACTTTGAAACTGGTGTGTTTTATGTCTGTCTGTGTTTGTTTTGTTGATGTGTTGTTGGTTTACTTGCACAGTTTTAAATTGTTAGACTCCATGTGGTTGTGAAATATGCTTGTACTTGAAATGTTTTTCTTTCCTCTTCTCTAGGTTAAAACAATAGTTTACTCCAAAATGAAGTTCTATCATTTACTCAACCTCTTGTTGTTTTAAACCCTTATGACTTTGTTTCTTCTGTAAAAACACAACAGGAGAAGTTCTGAGGACTGTGATGGTCGCTAGATGTAATTATAATGAATAATTTCAAGCTAAAGCTTTCAAGCTTTGAAAAAGGACCTACTATCTGGTCTGTTCATCACAATACGTTATCGAATGGTTTCAGATTTCTTCGACTTTAGAGCATGAGTCACATGGACCACTTATATGGTGCCTTGTTGAAGCTTGAAAGCCTCGGTTCTTTGTAACTGCATGCTTTCCTTTAGTGTTCCACAGAGAAAGAGAGAAGAAACGAACTACACTCGATAAATCCTGTCTTCTCTTCAATATTACAGGTTTACTGGTCCAAACCTGCCATCACCCATCATCAGCAGCAAGAACTGGCTGAGACTCCACTTCACATCCGATGGAAACCACAGACTGAAAGGCTTCAGTGCTCAGTATCAAGGTAAGAGATGGGCTGTCGTGGGACTGGTGCCTTTACTTGTGTCTATGTAACAGGACAGAAACAGCTCAGGGGTTCTGGTTGTCAAAAACATCTGGAAAATGACTTGAAGAGACTAGAGAAAGGGAAAGGAGAAAGCTAGATATGTGCCAGCCTTTATTTACAACACATTCTACACAGCATCCTGACCTTTGCAAGTTTGTGATTCCTCATTTTAGTTTCTGTTTGTTTGTTTATTGATAGTAGAAACTAATGTTGTGTAAAGAAAAGGTTGTGTGTGTGTGTGTGTGTGTGTGTGTGTGTATGTGTATATATATATATATATATATAATAATATTAATATATTTAACTTTAAACTTTAACATAGGCTGATTATTCTTATAGATTGAAAGAAAACTGCTTCAGCCAGGATAAAGAATATGAAAAGTGCTCAGAGTTGCTGCAGAAAACAAAAACAGAGCGAGCAACAACAGAAACGTGTTTCTGTAGACGGGCTCATTCTCTGCCAGCAGGAGGTGCTTATGGAGCGGTAGTAACAGTGGTTTCCCCGGTAACGGCTGTACACAAAGCAGCGCTGCGCTCATGGACGCTGCTTTATCAGATAAAATGAAAATGCTATCGAAACTTTTCTGAAGACAGTTGGTTCCCTTCAAAGACATTCATATAAAACACCTGCGCTGCGTTTTGATTTTGAAACATGCAGTGCTCATGTTTATTTAACGAAGTCAAACGTCACAAATAAATCAATGTATGGGAAACACTGGCAATGTGTATCAAAATATCGGAAATGTGTTTAAAAATCATGTCACCGTTATTGAAAAAAAAATTATATTGCCATATATATTGATATTAAATTATTGTCCAGCCCTAGTTACTAGCCATATTGCAATGAACGATCTAGTTCAGCCTATGCCTGACTGGAGTAGTGCAGTAGCACTGAAAACATTATATTTCACACACTTTTTATTTTCCAAATGTAATAGGATTAGTCCAACGAATCATTCGGTTTGTAATCCGTACCGAACCGAAACCCTCGTACCGAACGGTTCAATACGAACCTTTTGGAAAATAAAATGCATTAAAGCACATTTTTTAATCAGTTTTATAGAGTTTTTCCCCACAACCGATGCAGAAAACATGCAAAAAAGTGTTTGCTCTCAGTAGTTATCATGCGCCCTGCAGAGTTTTCCCCTGTCTGCAGTTAGAATTAAAGTCATATTATTTGAATCATCTTGGTTAAGTGTTAAGTCAGTTAAAGGGCATGAATACCCCCAACTCCTGACACATAGAGATACACACACACATCACACTAGCTGCGCTACTAGCGGCACTCACATCACACTCAAGTTCAAAGGTCAGCACTCAGAGGAGATGAGCAGAGGAGCGGGATTAGTCAGCTCAGCTACGGGAAACAAAGTTGGAATCTGCAGGAATTTTACCTCCTCCATAAGCAGATCAGAGCGATGGGATGGGATTACAGGGCTGGGGTTTGATAAATAAATACTTTTAGAGTATCAGGAAGAGAGAAAGGGGTGCTAAGCTCTTAATTAGATTTCCCACTGACCTCTCTCCTTTTATTTTACCTCCCTTCCTCTTTCCAACCTTTAGTGAAATGATCTGGAATGAGTAACATCCAATGAGAAAACTGTTTACATAACAAACTACTTCACTTCCTCTCAATCTTTTTTCAAAATTAGGTATGGAGAGAGAGGGTAAAGCGATTTTTAAAGAAAGGCATACTCAAATAGTCTTATAGAGCCAATAATAGTAAAATGTTGATCTGTAATACACTTTTTTGTACATTATCATCTGATTGTTCTGCAGATCTGGACATTGAGAGCCCTCATAAATAAATAAAAATAAATGCAAAAATAAATAAATAAAGTACATAAATAATATGACCATGCATAATGTACATATTTTTGTTTGACAGGCAAAGGTGAAAATACTTATTGCAACCTGTTTGAAAATCATTTATTTTGCCATTCAGTTGGCAAAAATAGAAAAAAAGAAATGACCCACTTCAAATATTATTTAATCATTATATTTGTAATTTTAATTGACCTGTTGCTATTTGGTTTTTCTGAAACAGCTGATTGTGAATGGTAAATATCTCCATTAAAAATGCTTACCCAAATGCTGATTTTCTTGTGCTGAAGCTTTGAGACAGTGTAGCAGAAAACAATGACTGTGTGTGTGTGTGCGTACTAATGCGTGCTGGCATTATTTTGTCGCTTTTTCAACAAATATGCTGCGCTTTGTTCACACACAATAGGCTTTTTTTGCACAAGAATGACAGCTTCTTTGAAAGACTGTAATTGTAATTACAATGCGGTTCATGATTTGTAATGCCTAAAAAGCATCTGGCCAGTGATTATAGTTTTTTCAGCTTTTTCTAATCCTTCCTGCTCTCAAATAAACATGTTATAATTCTTTTGACTTCCAGTGAAGAAGATGACAGAACTGAAGTCCAGAGGGGTGAAGATGCTGCCAAGTAAAGACAACCACAGCAAGATATCAGTTTGTAAGTCAACCTTTCCATGTACATGAAGGACATTTTCCTAAATCAGCTTTACGTTTACATGCATTGACTTGGCAGATGCTTTTATCCAAAGTGATTTACATTTGCCTACAAGGTATACTTTATCAGTTCATGCATCCCCTGGGAGTTGAACCAATGACCTTGGCATTGCTAACATAATGATCTACTATTTGATATACAGGAATGCAATATCTCAGTTTATGATTAATTTTATGTAATGATAACAATAACAATAATAACAGTATGTACTACATTACTTTTGCTGAAAATAAATAAAAAAAACATCTTGGTTTCTAAATAAATAAATTAATAAAAATAAGCAGCACACTTTACAAAATGTTTCTTAGAAACCAAATCAGCATATTAGAATGATTTCTGAATTCAGTTTATTATAATTATTTTTTTTATTTTTTGATCATGTTACACTGAAGACTGGAGTAATGATGCTGAAAATTCAGCTTTGCCGTCACAGGAATGAATTGCATAATAAAATATATTAAAATAGAATACAGTTATTTTAAATTGTAATATTTCACAATATTACTGTTTTACTGTATTTTTTATTTATTTTTTTTATTTTTTTTAAATACAGACTTGGTGAACATAAGAGATTTCTTTAAAAAATATAAAAAAATATATACAAATTTAAAGCCAAAACTTTCTTGCATTTTCCTGATGAATTTTCAGTTTTTTTTAAGCTTTGTCAGCATGTAGATTCCATTGTCCACTCATTGGTGAAAGCAGTGGCACACTTGAAGCATGTCCTCACGCTTGGCACAAGCACACAAGCACACAACCTTGAACATTAATGTTATCTTTAATCTTTAATCTTTAATGTTATCTCGGGATCTGCCAATACCATTTCGTTAAATCCAGTGTCGAATAAAAGCGAGCCGAACCTAACCGATCAAGTAGCTCGTCAACGCGGGGCATTGGATAAGCGTTGAATTTCGACACTGCATTCACCTTCCTGTAATCCACACAGAACCGGACGGAGCCGTCCGTTTTAGGCACTAAAACTATCGGGGGACCCCAGTCGCTATGCGATTCTTCTATTACTCCCAACCCTAGCATGGCCGTTAATTCATCCTGCACCACTTTTTTCTTGTGTTCCGGTAACCGATAGGGGCGGCTGCGCGCCACCTGCCCGGGGATCGTTTCGATGTGGTGCTGTATGAGGTTCGTGCGACCGGGCAGGGGTGAAAACACATCAGCAAAATCCGCTTGCAACTTGGCTAGCTCGGTGAGCTGCAGCGGCGAGAGGTGATCTCCCCCCGGGACCAGAGCGAGCGGATTGGTTTTGACAGCCGCTTCCGGTCCGAGATCTTCCTCTGCCGAAACGGCCGCTGCTAACCCCACCGAGGTCACCTCATTCCAACGTTTTAAAAGGTTGAGTTGATAAACTTGACCTGAATTACCCCTGTCCGTTCACCTAACCTCATAATCAAGATCCCCCACTCGCCGTGTAACCACAAAAGGTCCTTGCCACTTTGCAAGTAATTTGGAACTAGACGTTGGAAGTAATACAAGCACTTTCTCTCCCGGTGTAAATTACCACGCTCGCGCCCCCCTGTTGTACAGCCGACTTTGTCTGTCCTGCGCCTGGAGCAAATTCTCCATTGACAGCCGCCCCAGAGTGTGGAGTTTTGCTCGGAGGTCCAGGACATACTGAATTTCGCTACGGCTGTTTGAAGGCCCCTCCGGCCCGATGAGGTCCATGCCAATTCTCTCGAAGGGGACCTCTATCAGTGGTAATGGGCGCAAGGGCACTTTAGAACTGGCCGGAGGATTTACCAGCTGACATTACGACACCCCGCACACCACTGGCGGATGTTCTCGTGAATGCCCGGCCAAAAGAATCGGGCCATGAGCCGTTCCCGTGTCTTTGCCTCCCCCAAGTGGCCTGCCATGGGACTACTATGAGCCGCCTGGAAAAGCATTTCCCGACGGCTTTTTGGGACTAATAACTGGGTTGTATTTTTTTTTGTTTGGGTATCTTGGGTCACCCGATACAACCTATCTTTTATAAGGGAAAAATCCGGATACGAGAGCAGTTGGTCAGGCTGGAGAAGCTGTCCGTCGATGGTGCGGACCCGGTCATACGCATTTTTCAGCGTCTCATCGCGAGAAAGCTCCAGCGGAAAGTCATCCAGCTCGGGGGATATAAGCTCCGCCCTCGCTCTCGTTTCCTCTGAGACAGCCTGTGACAGTCCCGAAACAGCATCTCCTGCCTGCGCCACCGCTTCCCCGTTTCCCAGCCCCATTTCCCAAGAAGCATCCGCACACAAAATCCCCAATAATTGTGTAAAAGCTGGCCAATCTGTCCCCAAAATCAGCGGATGCCTGAGGTGGGAATTAACCGCCACCTTCATTCTATGCGTTTTGCCCCGAAACTGAATACTAACAGCCGCTAACGGGTAGTCCACCACATCCCCGTGCTCTCCGCCACGCCCCCTCGGGTCCCCGCTCTGGTCCCCTGGACGACCCCACCCCGCGGCGCGGGTCGTGGGGGCGCATTACTCCGCGACCTGGGAGTAGGAATAGGGCGAGAGAGAGACGGAAGGGAAGGGAGTCCTCCTGCTCCAGCTTGAGGTCCATCAGTGCCTGATGTTGGGTTTGGTGAAGCCCGGCGAGTGACTTCACGAGCTCCGCAAGTGGCGTCGGCTGAGCTGGCTGCATGGCGGCGTGCCGGCTTCCTCGTCCCGGGTTTCGGCACCAGTGTAAGAACCGATCCTCCTGCTCCAGCTTGAGGTCCATCAGCGCCTGGTGTTGGGTTTGGTGAAGCCCGGCGAGTGACTTCACGAGCTCCGCAAGTGGCGTGGGCTGAGCTGGCTGCATGGCGGTGTGCCGGCTTCCTCGTCCCGGGTTTCGGCACCAGTGTAGCAACGTTTGTAGTTCAGGAGGAAGGACGAGGAAGTCAGGGGTGGCGGGTAGACCTTTTTATTGGTCGCCACAATCAACATACAATAAACAATAAGCGCTGCTCGGGTCTCGGCCTCCGCAGTCTGGTAACGTCACACAACGCACACTCTGCTGTGTCTCTCTCTCCCCCTCCCAGGTCGGCGGGCGCTTATCTCTCGTCTCTCCGCCAATCACTGGAATTGCAAACAGGTGTTAATCATTATTCACTTGACCTCCTTATCACTGCTCGTCTCCAAACTCTTTCTCCCGCTGCAGCCTTTCGCCTTCCCCCGCCCCCCTCACCACATATATATATATATTTTTTTTTTCTTTTAAAAGAACAGCATGAATGTAAAACTCTAAATCAAATAATTATTCTGTTCACTAAATGAAAATACTGCATGCATTTTGAAAATTATGTTAAATAATGATAAATCAGTTAACCCATTAAAATATGCACATCTGAATTACACTATATAATTATATGAATTATGTATAGGCCTATATTGTGAATTGAAGGGATGTCACAATAGCAATAAACTATGAATTCATATTGAATTGTTCCACTCAATTGGCCTCAATTAGGTTATGGTGAATAATAAACATTTTTAAAATGTAAATCTAAATCATATAATAAGTCCATGAATTATAATAAAATTAAATAACAAAAAATGTGTGAAGACCAAATTGTAAAAGTAAATAATTTATTTAAATATAACTACAAACAAAATAAAGCATTTGAAATGATGAAATATTTTTACTTACATGTTATTTGTCCATTAACCATCATCAGAGAACTATGAACATGCAAATGTGTTGTTAAATTATTGAAGTAATAACTCTATGTCTGTCACACTCCTGAGGAGCAGGGAGCGAGGAGATGAGGAGACGAGGGAATAAACTTAAACAAACAGACTTTAATAAGCTCAAAAAGCAGGAAACATAGGGAACGCAGGAGACTCAAAATGACATTAGACACCGGACACTCGACACAGGAAAACACTGGGCTAAATAACAGGAACTAAACGAGGTAATTACAGAGACACAGCTGAATCAAATGAACACAATCAACACGAGGAGAAACTGGGTCACGGGTAGCACATGGGGAGCAAAACACAAGACAGGAACACAGGGACAGTCCATGGGCGTGTCATTACCTCCCCCTCCCGGAAGGCGCGTCCACGCGCCTCATAACTTCCAATGGGGAGTGGGGTTGGGCGCTCTGGAGGCCTCTAGGGACAGACTTACACGGGACGGAAGGCCTCCAGGGCGGTACCCGTTCCGGGACCCATGGTGGATCATGCAGTTCAGGGAGCCATGGCAGAGCGGGCAGTTCAAGGGGCCATGGCGGAGCGGGCAGCTCGGGGAGCCATGGCAGAGCAGGCAGACTAGGGAGCCATGGCGGAGCAGGCACCTGGGCCAGACTTGGAAACAGCTGCCCTCTCTGGGCGGTACGTGGGAACAGGGGCCTTCTTTGGGCTGGACTTGGGAACAGGAGCCCTCTCTGGGCTGAATTTGGGAACCGAGTCTCTCTCTGGGCTGGACGGGGGAACAGGAGCCCTCTCTGGGCTGGATGTGGGAACAGGAGCCCTCTCTGGGCTGGGCATAGGAACCAGAGCCCTCTCTGGGCTGGACGTGGGAACATGAGCCCTCTCTGGGCTAAACTCAGGAACTGGAGCCCTCCCTGAGTTCAACGTGGAAACAGCAGCCCTCACTCGACTCCGGACTGGGGCTAGAGCCATGTCTTGACTCTGGTCAGGGGCTGGAGCTGACACTTGAGCGTTAACCCATTAAAATATGCACATCTGAATTACACTATATAATTATATGAATTATGTATAGGCCTATATTGTGAATTGAAGGGATGTCACAATAGCAATAAACTATGAATTCATATTGAATTGTTCCACTCAATTGGCCTCAATTAGGTTATGGTGAATAATAAACATTTTTAAAATGTAAATCTAAATCATATAATAAGTCCATGAATTATAATAAAATTAAATAACAAAAAATGTGTGAAGACCAAATTGTAAAAGTAAATAATTTATTTAAATATAACTACAAACAAAATAAAGCATTTGAAATGATGAAATATTTTTACTTACATGTTATTTGTCCATTAACCATCATCAGAGAACTATGAACATGCAAATGTGTTGTTAAATTATTGAAGTAATAACTCTATGTCTGTCACACTCCTGAGGAGCAGGGAGCGAGGAGATGAGGAGACGAGGGAATAAACTTAAACAAACAGACTTTAATAAGCTCAAAAAGCAGGAAACATAGGGAACGCAGGAGACTCAAAATGACATTAGACACCGGACACTCGACACAGGAAAACACTGGGCTAAATAACAGGAACTAAACGAGGTAATTACAGAGACACAGCTGAATCAAATGAACACAATCAACACGAGGAGAAACTGGGTCACGGGTAGCACATGGGGGGCAAACTCGACGATGGAGTGGCCGGCGGGCTTGACTGCTGAGCAGCCAGCGGGCTTGACTTCGGAGCGGCCGGCAGGCTTGAGAGTGCAGCGGCCGGCGGGCTTGACTGCTGAGCCGCCGGCGAGCTTGACGATGGAGCGGCCGGCGGGCTTGACGGAGGAGCAGCCGGCGATCCTGGACTGAGACAGAAATTGGGACTGGAGTCAGGAAAAGGGAAGTCGAAAGGAGTGTGGCCCTGCCCGACTGGGACGTAGGGTCTGCCCAGTCAGACCTCCGTCTACGGCCTCGGGGTACCTCAGAGATGACAGGTGGTCAGAACCCTTGGTTAGGTATGTGGGGGTTCCTGGCATGGGGTGAGCTGGTGAGACACGGTGTGTTCCAGAGGGGGATGGATGAGGAGACTTTAAATTCTCCTTTATTTCTTCTACTTCGAAATCGGAACCATTAAATTAGAGGACAAGATTAATCAGCTCGATCAAGGGAAAATCACATGTGGGGAGATCGCAGGGGATTGTTCTTCATCCAGCCCCAGCTGAAAACAGGCTCCGAGTGCGGCGTTGTGCCAGCTCACCCGGTTGAAGAGCTCGAGGAAATCCTCCACATACCTCTCCAAAGGCCGGCCACTCTGCCGGAGACACCACAGCCGATCCTCAGCCTCTGTCATCTTTGTATTCGGTCCGATGTTCTGTCACACTCCTGAGGAGCGGGGAGCGAGGAGATGAGGAGACGTGGGAATAAACTTAAATAGACTTTAATAAGCTCAAAAAGCAGGGAACATAGGGAATGCAGGAGACTAAAAATGGCATTAGACACCGGACACTCGACACACGAAAACACTGGGCTAAATAACAGGAACTAAACAAGGTAATCACAGAGACAAAACTGAATCAAATGAACACAATCAACACGAGGAGAAACTGGGTCACGGGGAGCACATGGGGAGCAAAACACAAGACAGGAACACAGGGGCAGTCCATGGGCGTGACAATGTCAAAGGTGTTCAACTGAAAAAAAAAATTGTTTGGGAAGCCCTGTTATACACTAAGTGTTTAACTAAAACTGTTCACTCAAAAACAATATTTGTCATCATATGAATAAACCTCATAAATGTTAAGTCGAGATGAATAAAAGTGTAAGCATTTAATACATGTGTTCATATTTAATAACATCCATGTTCAAGAGCAAAATGAAAAGTGGGGGTAGCATTATCCTGACCTGCTGTTGGATGGGGTACCCCAGTGAAAACCAACTTTTTTTCCCCCGTTTTGTCTTTTGCAGTATCACAGATGGGGGTGGCGCAAGGACACAACATGTGTCCAGACCCAGGAATCCCAGAGAGGGGCAAAAGAAAAGGCTCTGATTTCAGGTGAGAAATTAGTTTATGGATTACTTATTAAAATAGTCCACTGAGAGGACACAGAGGAGAGAGGGAAGAGGAGTGCAGTTAATTTAAGTGTTTGTAATGCCAGGATGATGAATAGCAAGAGATTCAGGAGGTGGGCACCTGTTTTATTTCTCATTGGCCTTTTAAGGGCTCAGGGAGGATATTTGATCAGCATAAACATGGGCTGTGGGCTCCCAAAGGTCACAACAAGAGGAGAAGGAGAGAGGAGCAGAGTGAGAGACAGAGAT